CATAAAAAAAGATATTGGGTATCAAAGTTAAAAATCGCTCTGCTGAACAATTTGATATTCTGACATAGAACCTTTTCATTCTCAGCCCGCGATTAGTTGAATGATATTCAAATATTMAATGAAAAACTTTGTATTTTAAATGTGTGTGTGTGTAAAAATTATTCACACTCAAACCTATCAATGTTTAGTGTTTACTTAAAATTTAGTTTTAACCGTTGAGTCAAAATTTCGTATCTAGGTACCAACTTTTAAGTGATATATGGTCTTAAATTGTGGYAACAATATCACTAATCTCTATATAACTGTTAAAATTTTACATATATTATCAACTTATAAGTCAATGCCGACACATCTACCGCTGTATATTGGTTTGAAATTCATTCAGTTCAAGATTAAATATTAAAAATTAATTAGTGGAAATTTTTTAATTTATCGCTATCACGTATCGCTATCGKTATCACGTCCTCTTAATACCAGAATGATAGCTATAAATATGGAAAGATAAAATTAATAGCTATCAAGCTATCTTGATAAAATCAGTCAATAGTATATTATGAACAATAATATTGATATTTTCAACTAACCAGTCGAGTTTTCAAACATGTACATGACACTATACCTCGTTGTACTGTACGTGTTTTAAAAATGGAATCTACATTTTATGAAAATTTGAAMAAGTTATCGAAACCAAAAAAACTAACAGTACTTTTATTAGTAAATCTAAATATAATTATTTAAAACAACTGAAGCTAGAGAAGAAAACAAATTCAAACTTAATAAAAAAAATATGACGTAATGACAGTACTAGGTAGGTGAAGAAAAATTAATTATGCCAATAACTGCAGTTATTTAAAATTTTACATGAAATACATTTATCTATTGGGCACGGTGGTAGAAATCGCATGGAATACGAAGTAAATAAAAAAATTAAAAATATAACTAGGGAAACAATAACTTCCTATTTAAATTTTTGCGAATCRTGTACTCATGTGAGAGAAAAGGAAATACAGTGAAAAAAGGATTGGTAGTTAAACCAATCATTTCGTCGGAAATGATTTCTAGGTGTCAAACAGACCTTTTTCATATGCAAGCGCAATCAGACGGAGATTATAAATTTGTATGTGTTTACCAAGACCATTTGACAAAATGTGTCATACTTAGGCCTCTAAGACATAAAAGTTCCGAAGCAGTTGCTAATGTTTTATTTCATATATTTACTCTTTTTGAGGCACCCAATATATTACAAAGTGATAACGGACGTGAATTTGTGTTTTTAGGTCAGGCAAACAAGGATTCCTGATTTACAAATTGGTGATTGCTTCTTAATAACAGTACCTAAAATAGATCGAGGACCTTCAGATCCCGCCAATGTAATTGCAGTTATTGTCAATCAGAACAAACATAACCTTCACCAACTCAATATGGTTTAGTAAAAGGGTGGTACAATTCAGCAAGTTTGAAACCCGCGACATCTATTTTTTTTTTAAATTACTGAAATTAATGATGATAAAGAACTCACATTACGTGAAACAATTTCTTATATTTCTGGGGGACAAGAATTTTTAAGTTTTACCTACTTGTAAACGCCAATGTGAATTTATATTTATATAATTTATAATTTATTTTTATAATATTTATAAATAATTATAACTATGTAATAGATTAAAAAGTAAACTTAATTTAAACTGATTTTATTTTTTCATAAAAAATTATAGTTTATTAATATAATATTTAGTATTTTAAGATTTCGATTTTAAGAAAAGTTATAATAT